GGGATTTGTCACCCTCCTGGGGGATTTGTCACCCTCCTGGGGGACATGCCACCACTCTGGGGGACCTGTCACCCTCTTGAGGGACCTGTCACCCTCTCAAAGGACCTGCCACCACCCCGAGGGCACCGGCCACCACCCTGGAATGTCCTGTGGTCACCTCCGTCCCCACAGGAGTGTCCTCGGGTGTCCCAGCCCGTTACTGGTCCCCCGTCATCTTCGTGGCGCTGGCCCTGCTCGTGCTCTTCGTCACCTACCACAGGACCAAGGACAAAGGTCTGACCCCGGCACCCCAAAAACCTCCAGAGGTCACAACCCCGAAAGGTCCAGAAATGCCCCAAAATATCCAGAAACTTCCCAAAAACCTCCGGAGGTCACAACCCTGAAAGGTCCGGGAGTCACCACCCCAAAATAATCAGAAATGCCCCAAAAAATCCAGAAGTCACAACCCCAAAATCCTTTAGATGCCACCACCCCAAAAGATCCAGAAATGCCCCAAAATTTCCAGAGGTTCCAACCCCAAAAACCTCCAGGAGCCACAACCCCAAAAGATCCAGAAGTCACCACCCCAAAAGATCCAGAAAAACCCCAAAATATCCAGAAACTTCAACCCCAAAAACCTCCAGAGGCCACAACCCCAAAATAATCAGAAATGCCCCAAAAAATCTGGAAGTCACAATCCCAAAACCCTTTGGATTCCACCACCCCAAAAGATCCAGAAATGCCCCAAAAAATCCAGAGGTTCCAACCCCAAAATATCCAGGAGCCACAAGCCCAAAATATCCGGAAGCCACAACCTAAAAAGATCCAGAAATGCCCCAAAAAATCCAGAGGTCCCAACCCCAAAAGATCCAGAAAAACCCCAAAATATCCAGAAACTTCAACCCCAAAAACCTCCAGAGGCCACAACCCCAAAATATCCAGAAATGCCCCAAAAGATCCTGAAGTCACAGCCCCAAAAACCTCTAAAGCCGCCACCCCAAAAGATCCAGAAATGCCCCAAAATTTCCAGAAGTCACAATCCCAAAAACTTTTAGAGCCACCCCCCAAAAAGATCCAGAAATGCCCCAAAAGATCCAGAGGTTCCAACCCCAAAAGATCCAGAAAAAACCCAAAATATCCAGAAACTTCAACCCCAAAATCCTTTGGATTCCACCACCCCAAAAGATCCAGAAATGCCCCCAAATTTCCAGAGTTCCCAACCCCAAAAACCTCCAAAAGTGCCCCAAAATGTCCCTTTTTGGGGTCCTTCAGGAGGATCCCAAAAGAATCTCCTGGTCATTGGGCCGGGGGTTCCCCTTGCTCCAAAATTCCCAAAATTCATCCCAAATTTCCCACCTGACCTCAAATTTGCCTCTTTTGGGGTCACCTTGTCCAACTCGAACAAATTTTGGGGTTTTGGGGTTTTGGGTTTTTTTTCCCTGCTCCAAACCCAAACTGGGGCTCGTTTTGGGGTTTTCCAAAGGGGATTTTGGGTGGAAAATTCAGGTTTTTGGGTCTGTTCCGGTCACAGGGATCCGGGACCGGGCCACGAGTGGCAGCGACTCCTCAGGTGAGCCCCGTGGGGGAACTGGGGAAACTGGTTTTACTGGGATGTTTGCTTTTATTGGGGTATTTTTATATTTTATATTATTTTGTATTTTATATTTTATATTTTATATTTTTTCTATTTTATTTTTTATATTTTATATTCTATATTTTATATTTTATATTTTATATTTTATATTTTATATTTTATATATTATAATTTATATTTTGTATTTTATATTTTATATTTTATATTTATTTTGTATTTTATATTATTTTATATCTTGCATTTTATATCTTATATCTTATATTTTATATTTCATATTTCATATTTTATTTTACTGGGGTATTTTTTAATTGAGTATTTTATTTTATTGGGACATTTTGATTTTACTGGGATATTTTATACTTTATATTTTATTTTATTGGAGTATTTTTTAATTGGGATATTTTATTTTATTGGGATATTTTGATTTTACTGGGATATTTTATAATTTATATTTTATTTTATTGGGGTATTTTTTAATTGAGTATTTTATTTTATTAGGATACATTTATTTTCTATTATTCTATTGGAGTATTTTGTTTTATTTCAGTAGGATATTTAATTTTATTGGGATATTTTATTTTCCCGGGATATTTAATTTCATTGGAATATTTTATTTTCCTGGGATATTTAATTTTATTTGGATATTTCATTTTTCTGGGATATTTCATTTTATTGGGATATTTTATTTTTCCGGGACATTTAATTGTATTGGAATATTTTACTTTTCTGGGATATTTAATTTCATTGGAATATTTTATTTCAGTGGGATATTCAATTTTATTGGGATATTTCATTTTTCTGGGATATTTCATTTTTCCAGCATTCCCTGGCTTGGTTTATTTGGGATTTCAGGGATAAATTCTGGACCCTGCTCCAGCTTATCCCGATTGGAAGCGCCCAAATTCCAGCTGGGATCCCCCTGGGTCCCTTCCCGTGGGATTGGGATGATCCCGGAGCTCCTCCCATCCCAAAAAATTCCACAGTTCCCAAATCCCGCCAATTCCCGGGTCCCGGCGCCCTCATCCCAACCCTTCCCTTGCAGATTTGGGAGCGCTGGTCCAGCCCCAGGAGCCCATCCCAAATATCCCGGCCCTACAGGTGAGCCCGGGATGGGAAAAATCCCGGGAATTGGGAAGGGCCAAAGCCGGGTCCCAACGCCGGCCGCTCCGTGGAATTCCCGACTCTTTTCCAGAGGGAAAGGAAGGATCCCGAGACCCCCCCGGAACACGGCGAGACCACCTTCGGCCAGCCCCCGGACCCGGAATTCCTGGTCTGAAGGGGATTCCCGGGATAAAGGGGATTCCCAAGGAAAATGGAATTCCCGGGGAAAAGGGAATTCCCGGGGAAAAGGGAATTCCCGGGATAAAGGGAATTCCTGGGATAAAGGGAATTCCTGGGATAAAGGGTTCTTGGGGAAAAGGGAATTCCTGGGATAAAGGGAATTCCCAGGGAAAGGGGAATTCCTGGGGAAAAGGGAATTCTTGGGATAAAGGGAATTCCCAGGATAAAGGGGATTCCTGGGATAAAGGGAATTCCCGGGATAAAGAGAATTCCTGGGATAAAGGGAATTCCTGGGATAAAGGGAATTCCCAAGATAAAGGGAATTCCCAAGATAAAGGGAATTCCCGGGATAAAGGGTTCCTGGGGAAAAGGGAATTCCTCGGCCCCAAAAATCCCAAGTTTTTGGCCTCATAGATCCCAAAATTTTGGCCTCGTAAATCCCTAAAATTTTGTGGCAAAACCCCCAAATTCTTTGTCCCGTAAATCCCGAATCCTTGGATCCCAGAACTCCAAAATCTGCCCCATAAATCCCAAATATTTGATCCCCCCCCAAATCCCCAAACTCTTGGCCCCAGGAGCCAAAAGAAATTTATTTTTTAAATAAAAAAAAAGTCAAAATGGGTTTGTTTTATTAAAAAAAAAAAAAAGAAAAAATTTTTTTTTACAATTTTAGTTCCTCTACGGAAAAAATAAAATAAAAATAAAAAATAACAAACCAACAAAAATAAAACCCAAAAAACAACGACCAAACACCGACGGAAAGAATTCCTACTGCTGCCGGAATGCTCCGATCCACTGCGAAAAAAATGGGAAAATCCAAGATTTTTGTTTTTTTTTTATATATATATATTAAAAACCATTAATTTGACATTTTACAACTTTCTACACGCATGCACAAAAAAAAAAAAAAAAATCTCGGCTCTGCTGGAAAATCCAAAATCCAAACCCAACCCCGAAAACGAAAATCAAAAATTCCAAAAAAAAAAAAAAAAACCAAAAAAAGGGAATTTTTAGCTCCCCAAAAATTCCCGAATGGAATTGTGAGTTCGGGAAGATCCATCCGTTTCTTTTTTTTTGCGGGAAAACGCCGACGGAGCCGAAGGATCGGGAGGTGAAATCCGGATCCTTCGGCCCCAAAAGGCTGGAAAATATTTGGGAGCAGCGGGAGGGGGTTGAAATTCCCCCCCCCCAAAAAAAAATTCCACCCAAAAAAATTCCCTGCCCCCCCAAAAAAAATTCCCCTGCCTCAAAAAATTCCCCAAAAAAACGGGGATTTCCTGGAATTTGGATGGATCCCCCCATTTTGCTACTGGTGCTTACTGGGGAAGCCTCCCCCGGCTCCTTTTTAGTGCTTAGGACAAAACCGACCCCAAAATCCGACCCCAAAACTCCTCCCCGGGAATGAAATCCGGCGCTTCCGACCCCACGAGGGCGGAGGTGGAAACCGGAAGGATAAAAACAAAAAAAAAAACGGGAAAATAAAAATTCCGAATCCGCCCGTGAGGTATTTGAGACTTTATCAAATTAAAAAAATCCCAAAAACAAAAGCTGGAAAAGGCAAAAAAAAGGCGTTTTTGGCATCCCGGTGGGAATTCCGTGGGATTCCCTCGTCGGTGAGCGTTGAGCTCTGCCAGGAGATCCTCGGGGTTACGGATCCGGGATTGCTCCCATGGCACTTGGAAGCCCCAAGGAGCCGCCGCTGGAATTTGGGATGCGGATCCCCTCAGGAGCAGCAAAATCCACCCCAAAAAAAACCCCAAAAGCTCTGAAAAACCCAAATTTCCGCTCGTTTTTCCCTAAAAAATCAAACTTGGGAGCGAGGAGGACGCTCCCCAAACCTGGGATAAACCACGGGAGCTTTTCCATAGCAGCCACGGATCCTGGAGATGATCCCAAATCCTTCCAAAATCCACCCAAAAAAAAAAAAAACCCAAAACCTCAACCTTCAGCTCCGAAAAAAACCCCCAAATTTCTGCTCGTTTATCCCTAAAAAATCAAACCGGGAGCGAGGAGGAGGCTCCCCAAACCTGGGATAAACCACGGGAGCTTTTCCATAGCAGCCACGGATCCTGGAGATGATCCCAAATCCTTCCCCCACCGCCCAAAAAATTCCCTTGGGGGAAATTTGGGGAATTTGGGGAATTTGGGGAATTTGGGGATCCCAAAGCCAGCCCCGGGGGCCGGGTTTGGGTTTAAGGCCAGAGCCAGGACAGTTGTCCAGGAGAAGAGGAGCAGAAGGTCGGCGGGACCCGGAGCTGCTCCCAAACGCTGGTGAAGAAGGAAGTCGGGAATTCTTGGAATTAGCCCTTGAGTTACGGCTCCAAAGGATCCGGATTCCGGGAATGAGGAAGAGGAAGAGGAGGAAGAAAAGGGGCTCAGCCACCTCAAAAAAAAAACCACAAGCGGTCACGATCCCAGGAAGGCGCCGGAGCCGGCAGCGTTTTTCCCGTTTTTCCCGTTTTCCGAGCCAAATTCGGAGATTCGGAGCCGGAAGAATTTTTTTTTTGGGGGGGAGGGGAGGGGAAAAACAACAACAACAACAACAAAAAAAATCCCGGCCGATCACACCGAGGTCTCCGACTGCAGCCTCATGATGAACTTGTGCGACTTGGGGTCCACGAATTCCTCGGAGAGCTTGAAGAACGGGATCTTCTTGGTGGACACCACCAGGCTGAAGTCCTGGCGCTTCAGGACGAAGACCACGCCGTCCTTGAGGCCGTTGGTCACCGGCTCCTCGCTGACCAGCGTCCACTGCTTGGCCAGCCAGCGTTCCTTGTGGTACTGGATGGTGGGACCGGCCGTCAGGTACCGCTCCAGGAAAGCCTTGGGAATGGGGAAGGAGAGCGGGAATGTCACCTCCGGGTGTTTGGGGGTTTTTGGGGGTTTTTTTTTGGGGATTTTTGGGGTTGTTGGAGGTTGGGGAAGAGCTCTGAGGTCATCTGGGTGATCCCCAGAGTTCCAGGAATTCCTTGGGGATGGCCACTCCAAAGCTCCAGCCCCTTCCAAGGTATTTTCCCCCTTTTCCAGGAGGGGTTTTCCCAAATTTCTCCCCTGGCCCAGCTCGAGGCCGTTCCCTCTTGTCCTGTCCCTGTTCCCTGGGATCAGATCCCAAATCCCCCCTGGAAAATCCCAAAACTCCCCCTGGATCCCCCTTTTCTCCAAGCTGAGCCCCCCCATCTCCCTCAGGATTTCCCATTCCCTTCTCCCGCCTCTCCATCCCCGTTCCCATCCCAAGAGAAAAAACCCCAACCCCACCCACCTCCAACCCCTAATTTTCCCGATCCCAACGATCCCAAAGGGATTAAAAAAAAACCCCGTTTTGGGACATCTCCTCCACCTTGGGGGTCATGTCGTGGGTGATGCAGAACTCCAGGTGCTGCAGGATGCTCTCCATGGTGTGGTAGGGCTGCTGCTTGGTGGTCCTCAGGTACTTCTGCATGGCCCGGGCCATGGAGGCGAAGATGGCCTGGGCGGCCTCGCGGGGGTCCATGATCTCCCGGGGGTTCTTCTGCTCCTCCTCCTGCAGCCGCTTGATGTGGGTGAAGGCTTCTTCCACCGCCACCACCAGCCTGAGGGGACAGGCGGGAAACGCCGCGGGTTTGGGGCGGGAAACGCCGCGGGTTTGGGGTGGGAAACGCCGCGGGTTTGGGGTGGGAAACGCCACGGGTTTGGGGCGGGAAAGGCTGCAGATTTGGGGTTGAAAACCTCTGGATTTAGAGTGGGAAGCACCGTGGGTTTGGGGTGGGAAACGCCGCGGGTTTGGGGTGGGAAACGCCACGGGTTTGGGGTGGGAAACGCCGCGGGTTTGGGGTGGGAAACACTGTGGGTTTGGGGTGGGAAATCCTCTGGATTTGGGGTGGGAAACGCCGCGGGTTTGGGGCGGGAAACGCCACTGGTTTGGGGTGGGAAACGCCATGGATTTGGGGTGGGAAACGTCGCGGGTTTGGGGTGGGAAACCCTCTGGATTTGGGGTGGGAAACACCACGTGTTTGGGGTGGGAAATGCCACTGGTTTGGGGTGGGAAACGCCATGGATTTGGGGTGGGAAACGTCGCGGGTTTGGGGTGGGAAACCCTCTGGATTTGGGGTGGGAAACGCCACGGGTTTGGGGTGGGAAACGTCACAAATTTGGGGTGGGAAAGGCCATGGATTTGGGGTGGAAAATGCTCTGGATTTGGGGTTGAAAACCCTCTGGATTTGGGATGAGAACCTCGGTGGATTTGGGGTGGGAAATGGCATGGATTTGGGTGGGAAACCCTCAGGATCTGGGGTGGAAAACGCCATGGATTTGAGGTGAGAAACCCCACAGATTTGAGGTGGGAAACTCATTGGTTTTGGGGTGGGAAACAACGTGAATTTGGGGTTGAAAACCCTCGGGATTTGGGGTTGAAAACCCTCGGGATTTGGGGTTGAAAACCCTCTGGATTTGGGGTTGAAAACCCTCGGGATTTGGGGTTGAAAACCCTCTGGATTTGGGGTTGAAAACCCTCGGGATCTGGGGTTGAAAACCCTCTGGATTTGGGTTGACAAACCCCACAGATTTGGGATGGAAAACCCCTCGGACGCGGTGAAATCTTCTCCAACGTACGAAGGAACCCAAATTCCCCCCAACTCCATCAAAGATCCCTCCAACCACCCCTCCTCGGGACCAGCCGGAATCTCCCCCCCGCCAGCTCCAAACCCACAGAAAAAAAAAAAAACCCCGGAACGACCCCAGAATCCACAGATTTGTTTTCCCCCACCCTCTCTCCCCGGGTACCTGGCGCGGCGTTTCCGCACCCGGCGCTCGTGCTCGGCCTCCTCGTAGTAGAACTCGTTGTGGCTGTTGTCGCGCCGCCGCGCCGCCGCCGCGATCACCGCCCGCGACTGCCCCGTGGAATTGTTGGTGGAATTCTCTGCGGAGGAGACGGCGAGCTCGGAAAAACAACCCGGAGCTCCCCAATCTTCCCCCCCCCAAAAACCAAAAAAAAAATTCCCGGTGAGGAATTTTTGGGACGGGAAAACGGGAGGAGAAGGGAGAAGAGGGAGTCTCACCCTCGCCAAGGGAATAGACCTTAAAGCCGGACATTTTCTTGGAGAGGACGGATTTTGGAAGGTTGAGGAGGGCGGGGTTGTAGACGGGGAAGTCGTGGTAGTAATTCTCCAGGATCCACACGGCCGCTCGCTGGATGCTGCCGGGGGGGAAAAGCGGGAATGTGGGGCACGGAGAGAGTCGGGAATGTGAGAGGGGGACACACGGGGAGGGGATGGAGGGGAATTCCCAGGAAAAATGTGGCTGCCCCATCCTCGGAAATGGCCAAGGGTGGGTTGGAGCCGCCTGGGGTGGTGGGAGGTGTCCCCGCCCGCGGAGCTTCCAACCCAAATCATTCCATGATTCCATCAATTCCCAGGATCGTCCAGACTGGAAAAGAGCTCCGGGATCACCGAGTCCAAGCTGTGTCCGGTCCCCTCTTGGTCATCCAGAGGAATTTCCAGGACACCTCCAGGGATGGCCACTCCCGACCTCCCCTTCCACAGCATTTTCCCTTTTCCAGGAGGAATTTCCCCAAATTTCCCGCCCTGGCACAACTCGAGGCCGTTCCCTCTTGTCCCGAGACCAAAACCCAAACCCCTCCACCCTCATCTCCTCCAGCTCCCTCACAACATCCCCAAACCGCCCCTCGCCGCTTTTTCCACGGGGGACAAAAACCCCACCAACCCCGATTCCCGCCGGGAATTCCGCGCCGTCCCACCTGAGGTGGCCGACGTTGTAGAAGCGGCTGGCGCCGTCGGCCGAGCGCACGGCCTTGAGCGTGAACTGGGGCTGGAGCTGCCGCAGCTCCAGCAGCACCACGGCCAAGTAGTGGACGAAGAGCAGAGCGTCCACCAAGGAGACGGCGAACTGCACCACGCCCCGGTAGTTGCGATCCCGGGAATCCAAGATGCGGACCCCGTAGAAAAGCCAGTAGGAGACGACCAGCAGGAAGACCAGCACCATCAGCAGGGCGCGGAAGACGAAGACGCGCGGGAAGAAGGCTTTGGGCCGGCGGAAGAACAAGGCCCAGCTGCCCAGCAGGAGGATGAGGAGTTTGAAGGCCACCGAGATGAAGAGCCCCTCGCAGGGCGTCCCGCAGGGCTCCAGCTCCTCCCGCCACAGCAGCTGCGGGAGGAGGAGGAAGGCCAAGGGGGTGAGGAAGGCCAGGAGCGCCAGGGCCACGCCCAGGGCCACGCCCAGGTGGCGGGAGCAGTCCAGGTGGGCGCTGTCCTCCATGTCCTTGGTGATGCGCGTGAGGTCATCGTGGGAGATGCTGTGCTCCGACGTCCCCGTCACCACCGTGGTGGTCTCGCCCCAGTTGTCGTCCTGGGGACAGGGGACATTCCAAAGGGTGGCTCCGTGTCCCCACCTGGTCCAGGTGGCCACCTGACCCCCAGGAGCTCTCGGGGACATTCCAAAGGTGGCTCCGTGTCCCCACCTGGTCCAGGTGGCCACCTGACCCCCAGGAGCTCTCGGGGACATTCCAAAGGTGGCTCCGTGTCCCCACCTGGTCCAGGTGGCCACCTGACCCCCAGGAGCTCTCGGGGACATTCCAAAGGTGGCTCCGTGTCCCCACCTGGTCCAGGTGGCCACCTGACCCCCAGGAGCTCTCGGGGACATTCCAAAGGTGGCTCCGTGTCCCACCTGACCTCCAGGAGCTCCCACCCTTCACCCCTCCAAACCAGGCATTGTCACCTGGACAGGGACAGGGGACATAGTCCCACCTGACCTCCAGGAGCTCCCAGGAACATTCCAAAGGTGGCTCCGTGTCCCACCCGACCTCCAGGAGCTCCCAGGGACATTCCAAAGGCTGGCTCCGTGTCCCCACCTGGTCCAGGTGGCCACCTGACCCCCAGGAGCTCTCGGGGACATTCCAAAGGTGGCTCCGTGTCCCACCTGACCGCCAGGAGCTCCCACCCTTCACCCCTCCAAACCAGGAATTGTCACCTGGACAGGGA